GGGATAGATTTTCGTCACTGTGAGGCACAGGTCTCATCGCAGATGGTATGTTTGGGTAGTTAATAACCGTTTTTTTTTTCTTGGACATACCTGTGGCTTGTCCAACACAAGGTACCATGCAAAAGTAACAATCATTAATATGATTTGTAGGCTCTCTCCAAACCATTGGGACAGCAAAGCGAATAGACCGTTTTTTGCCATTTAACCAGCTCCTCAGACTTCAAGCACATGTATTACAGCAGATGTGGGGTGCCCACTGTTTGTCTTGACCACCTAGTTTACAACCGAAATAAAGCTGATATGCCTTTGTTATTAATGGAGTAATAGACCGTCTCTGAGACGCAAAAGTCACATCACCACACACGCAACAAAACTGATCTGGATTGTTTACACACTTTCGAGACATCTTGCATGAACGCTGTCAGCCAACTGAGGAAAAAATTGCTAATATAAAACAATATAATGTACACGTATGTATAACGTAACACTATCATGCCGATTACATCATCTTTCCTTGCGGAATATAAAATGTAGCACGTGCATTCTTGTGAATTAGTATATTAATACTGTCACAGCAGGAACACATATACGTATAATTACCGTATCTCTAAAACTTGAACTAATATTGAAAAAATAAGTTTCATTCCAGTTTTAGCACATTAAAAATAGTAATATTTTGTTGGTTTTATTTAGGATTTTTTGTCTGTTGATCAGTGTAATTACAGAAAAATCAGATTAAAAAAATAAAAATTTATTGGATTTCCGGATAACATTTTCTTTGGCCTAAATTTTAGGTTAGGGACCAGATATCGAGATGCGGTTTTTGCGTGCTTGTTTAGACATCATTAAGCTACTTTTTTATGAAAAAAATCATACCAATGCATTCAATTTTTCGTGAGAAGATTAACCATTTCTGTCGGATTGTCGAAAAAGCCCGCTAGCGGCCACATAAAAAACTAAAACTTCAAATATTATAACATTTGTAGCCCAGGAATAGCTCTTTTCAACTAGTTCAAGTTTGTTAAGAGCGGGTCAGCCATTTCGAAGATACAGGGTGTTTTTTACGGATACAGCAAAAATTGTCAAACAAAATACTCGAATTTAAAGATCAGGTATTTACTTAACCTATCAAAATGGCAGAATTCACAGAAACATCACTTTCTTAGGTTCAGAAACATTAAAATATTTTCCAGTTTTTTTCTTGATAAGAACGTTTGCCTCTACAATGGATAGGTTTCCAGATAAAGTACCTGACATTCTTGGTTGGCCACCCTGTATAATTTGGGTGATTTTTAACTAAATTAACCGAAACCACTTTTCCCATAAGCAACGACTATGAACAACCGTTGCGTTCCGTCGCGGTGTTGAGCAATGGCTGGATCGTGCTAGCTGCACTTTGTTGCACTTTTTGCTGTGCATAACTTTGCATCGTCGCCGAGGAAGACGATGCCAGATACATGACTTGGAAAGAAGCTGACGACGGATTTAGGATCGTACGCTACTATCGGGCTATACATATTCCAGAAGGGAATTGTAAACAGGCCACCAGCGAGACGGGAAACAGGATTGACAACCATGTGACTTAGCTTACACAGAATGCTAGTCAGGGATCCTTTCTGAACAATAGTTATTTATTATACAAAGGAAATACGAAATAGATTTAAAATCTAGTATTTTTCCAGTGTGTAATACACAATTTTTTTCTGTGACGGGAAAAACGACGATTTAACCCAGATATGCCTAGCGTACAATTTATGGTACACCGTAAACAAGTCGCGACTTGCAACGACCTGTGCTTATTTTGACGCGGTAATACCACAGATGTGTTCATGTTCAGTAAGCCTTAGTAAATCGTAACGTGCGCTTGGGTGTTATCGTTGTATTGAGATTTTTTGCGATTTCGTGAAGTTTTTTTTTTTTGTGACATGGCTGAATATGGAATACGATTTGCCAAGTAAGTAAATATACTAAGTGACATATAAATCCGAACACCCACTTTAAATGGTTTTATTTTAATAAAATTTGTATAAGTACTTAATGAAGCATAATAGTAAATGATAAAAATTTCAAAATGATTGCACTGCTTTAAAGCCCTTTGACCTTTAATAATTATTAATTATTTTGATATCTTCAACACATCCATTTTTATTAAAGAGAGTATGTAAAACGGTAGTTTTTTTAGAGCTACCACAGTTTGATTGAGCTATGATCAGTGGTAGCTTTTCATGGGTTCTTATTGGTAATTGCTAAGCAATCAATACAATTAGTTTATTTTGTGATTTTTATATATGTGTACGGTATTTCCCACCAGTAATTGGTTTATAAACTGTTGGTGGTGTAATTAAATAAATAAATAAATAAATAAATAGTGTGTGGATGCACCCTGATGTGCTACACATTCTTCAACGCGCCTAGGCATGCTTCTGATCAGGTGGTCAATGTCCTCCTGTGGTATCTCATCCCAGGCAACCACCAACTCCTCTCGAAGTGCTTCTAGAGTCTGAGGAGGACGTTGCAAATTGAGCAATCTCCTACCCATCATATCCCACACGTGCTCAATTGGGGATAAGTCGGGAGATCTTGTTGGCCACGGTAACAATGTGACATCATTATGTTGAAAGAAGTCTATTGTGACTCTTGCAACATGTGGTCGGGCATTATCTTGTTGGAAAGTTGGATCTGCCAGGGTGTCAAGATAGGATGGGGTTCTAGAACTTCGTGGATATAACGCTGCGCGTTCATGTTACCTCTGATGAAGATTAAAGGTGACCTGGAACCATAAGCTATAGCACCCCAAACCATAACTCCAACAGTCTTTCAACAAAAAACTGTGGATTCCTCCTTTCACCACGTCGCCTTGTAACCCTGGCACGACCATCGTGCATGCCTAAACAAAATCGAGACTCGTCACTAAAGACAATACTGTTCCATTCCTGATCCCAGAGTGACCGTTGTCTGCACCACTCAAGACGAATACGTCGGTGTTCTCGAGTTAAAGGGAGGACCCAGTGTGGCCGGTATGAAAACAAGCCAAAACTTCTCATTCGTCGGTAAACACTTCGCATGCCAATAGGTCTTCCGTGTTCTGCAAACCATTCATTTGCAATGGACCTGGTAGTGGAGAAACGGTCACTTAAGGCAAGTAATCTTAGGCGGCGATCTTCACGGTCTGTTGTTCTACGGCGGCGCCCATTGCCCCTTGCTCTTTGCGTACGGCATTCTCGAAGCCATGCCTGACAACACCTAACCACAGTGTCTACACTTCTTTGCACTCTAACTGCAATTGCCCGAAAAGAATGTCCAGCTTCCCGAAGTCCCACTATACGGCCCCTATCAAACTCACTAAGTTGACGAAGTCGTACAGGTCTCCATACTCTAGGCATCGTAACCGGTCGTAAAGGATGTCAAGAACCAAAATCCGCCAACGTTGATTCTTTACTGCGGCTGAAATATTCATTTTTAGAGCGTTAGTGAATTAAAAAAAAAGCAGTATAAAAACCGGAATGTCCAACTGATGAGGCTGACATTTTTTTCACTTTTATCTACAGTAAGATAAATACATTCACCAACTTTTA